CATATAATAGTTGTATTCAGTTGTTGAAGAATTGTTTTTAATTTTATACGAATATAGTTGTAATGTTCAAACATGATTGAATATTGTGGTTTCTTTGCAATAACAATATGTTGTTGTACATGTTTCTTATACACAGTAAGAGTCATGTTGATACTTAGGATATATGGATATCGTTGTCTGTATTATTCCAAATGTCTCTAACATCATGTACGGGACTGAATGATCAGTCCATTCCATCTTCAAAAAAATCAGTTGAACTAGGTTGCGTGCTTGTATTCAAACCCAGCTTGACTTAAGGACATGTTAGTTTGTTATGTCCCTCACCGTTGCAGAACCCACATCGCCTAATTTTCTTCTCGACCTTGTTCTTTGTTACTTCTTTTCGCTTGCGTTGTTTTCGTTGAGGGTCGCAAACGTTGTTTAATACACTGCTCCGATTGACTGAATAATTCAAACCAAACGAGTTCTTAAATTCTTCTGTTAATATTTTCATCTTATCTCTTGCGGTTTTGAAAGACACGTCTGTCTTTGATACAACATGGCATAACATACTTGCTGTTGCACGTAGAGAAGCAAACCTTGCCATTTGCATTATTTCTGGAGGCACATTCAAATCAACAAAACTGGGTGCAGAAGTCTTCGCATCCTTAGTCCACCTACTTTGAATCAAAGACCCGGGTAAATATGTGTAATCCAAGTGCTTCAAAACGTGAAGTTGATGGCGACATGGAAGTCCAACTGTCTCAAATTTTTTGTACAAGTAATTTAGGGTTTCCGTACGAGAATCAAAACTAATTTCAAATGTCCTATTTTTCTTTGTACTTTTTCAAATAAAAATATTGAAATTCATCTGATAAGGATCGAATCTCTTCCTAAATCCGGTACAATGTCTCCCATTGAAGTTCTTCTTGGAACACACGAAAAGATTCGCGCGTATAAATCTCAGAAGCATGACTTTCAAATTCAACCAGTTTTGTGATCTGGAAGGGTTTTGTCTGGGAACTTAAGTAATCCGCTTTCAACTTGTTCAGACATATTCTACTAATTCCATCTTCAATTGCACGAACAACATCTAAATATGTCTTCTTGTGTTTCAGTGCAATTACGAGTGAATCATTCATAGACTCACACCTTTGTGTTATGCGAATATTAGCAAAGAAATGACCTGTTAGATATGCTTGTGCCCATAAGTGCTGAGTATTTCCCTTCTCAATCACCCATGGATGCTTTTCGACGTTGAACTCTGAAACAACTGAAGCCATTGAATATCAAATTTTTCGGTTGTCCACCAGGAAACCATGCATTTTGAGAATGATGCTGTAAATTTTGGGTCACCAATGTTAGCTTGTGCATTGCGAGAAAGATGCCAAGAACATAATCTGTGCTTAGCATTAGGGATAACAAATTTGATAGCCCTCTGTATTGCCCTATCCCCATTGGTGATAACTGAAATAGGCGATTTGTTCATCATGGCTTCTAAAATATTATATTGCACCCACTCGAAAGATTGGGACGTCTCGTCAGCGATTATGGCAGTAGCAAACACAGTTGTGTTATGGTGATGATTGACACCGACAATAGGCATAATTGGTCGACCATACAAATTATCTTTGTACGTTGTGTCGAACGCAATTACATCGCCGAAGCATATATAATCTGATCTCGATGTAGAATCCGACCAAATAAGATTTTGCAACGCCCCTGATTCGTCTACCAAGTATGTCACAAAAAACCTGAGATCATCATGTTTCTTATAATCAAAGTAAGCAATAAGCGCATTCACATCCCCATCGACGATTTGCTTTGCTTTGCCTCTTTGAAGTGCATTGTAGAGGTCTTTATGTATAAATCCAATATTATGATAGCCCCCTGCCTGCTGCGTTAAATAGTTTATTACTTATGACGTGCCAACACCGACCTCTTTCAATACTGTTACCTCATCGATATCAGCCTTACTTACAGCTCTATTAGAACGCATAAATGGTGTCATAGCAGGTGTGCACAATGCATGATTATGTTTCTGATAAGACTTACTTATAACCCACTGATCGTTTGTATTTTTTGTTGTAAGTACGATTCTAGCCTTGCATCATGTTCTTGTGATTGGCGTATGAGCTCGTTGACGATCAACGATATTAACTTTTGATACTCGAAACCCTTCTTTGGAATAATAAAATTCTTGTGTCTTCACATTCCCTTCCATGTCAAGCCATATTGTTCCCCGACGTGCACTAAACCCATGTTCCCATGCGAATTCCTTGTAAAAGTACCAAGCTTGATCACGCGAAGAGAAGAGCTTACCAATCAATATGTCAGATTCATCAACATTATATACTTTATGGCATTCCTCGGTTGGCTTAAAATTGTCTGCATCAGTATGATCCATGGCAAAAATTTTGTTGTGCAATTTCAGTGGTCCCAACAGAAGTTGATAGAGATGTATGTAAGTAAAGGTTCATTGAACAATATGTTTCAGTGGTGATTTCAATAGGATGTGGTATTGGTAGTGGTGGTAGTTGAAGGGTGGGTACACCATTAAATTTACAGGACATATTCAGGTATGTACAATAACTACAGAATTCAATAACTTTAAAGTAATATGTAAAATTACAATGTAGGTGGTAAAATTAGACTATTTTAATGACAAATAATTATAATGTAATAGGTAAATTGACAATGTAACCAGTATACATATATCGTTTAATTATAAAACAGGTTAACATAAAGTATCGACACTGTTAAATTTTGTGTCGACACATTTATAACAAGTATCGATCCCAAAATCAAAGAGACCGATAATTATAATGTAATAGGTAAATTTCCAATGTAACCGGTAGAAATATACCGGGTTCATGAGAGAATATGTCAACATAAAGTATCGACACTTTTTTAATTTGTATCGATACATTTTTCCAAAATGAATGGCAAACGAGGTGTACACATAAAGTGTCGATACATTTGTAAAAAGTATCGATCCTCAAAACATCGAAATCGATAATTATTATGTAACAGTTAAATTTACAATGTAACTGGTTAATTAGCAAATAGGTCTACATTATGTATCGACACTCTTTAAATATGTGTCGATACATTTAAAATTGTATCGATCCCGAAAACATCGAAATAGATATTTATAATGTAATAGGTCAATTTATAATGTAACCGGTTTAAATTTACCGGTTTTATGAGAAAATAGGGCAATATAAGCGCTACCTATTACATTATATAAGCGCTACCTAATTTGTTATTGTACTTGATAATATTTCCGGTTAAATGCATATTTTATTATATAATTGCTACCTATTACATTATATAAGCGTTATCTAATATGTTATTGTGCTTGATAATATTTTCGGTTAAATGATATAACATAACCGATCACTTATTTAACCGGTCACGTCATTTTTTAAGCGCCGCACAAGAGAACTTCTGCATTGGTTAGTATTAGGGGTGGAATTAAGATTTTATTATAGAGGGAATTTAAGTATATTTTTTATTTTTTCATAAATATAATTTTTTTAATTGAGGAAAGTGATAAAATTTTCTTTATTTATTTTTTAAAAATATATATGTTTTAATATTAATTAATACGTATAAAAATAATTATTGGGGGTAAGGCTGTTCCTCCGGTGGCGACATCTCACTTAATGATGTCTCCTACAACTTGAAGAGGTATATTTCATAATTTGCAGAGGTATTTATTATTGTATCTCATAAAATTACGGAAGGATCACAAGAATATAAATTTTCTATTCAAGAGTCAGATGCTTCGATTAAGGAGTCTCTCACGATGTGCGGGTCGAGACGTCTCATTTAGAGACATCCACATGTGTCCTTAGCTAATAAAAAAACGTGTGTCCTTAGAAGAAATCTAACGGTGAGGAATTCACAAGAATCTTCGTTGCTTGAACAAATATCAAGGAGTTTACAAAAGTATGATCAATAATTCTTGTTCGAAGGAATACTACAACTCGTAATATTTTAATTCATAATTTCAATGTTTTAACTTCAAATTTTCTTTAAATGTATGGCACTGTTTGTAACGACTTATCTTAACATTTAAAATTGTCTCGCATAACTTTAAGATTACACTGGAATTTACACCAAGATTTACGATGTTCTTTCCAGCAATATTAGCTCATCATGGGCAACTTTGACCCACAATAACCCTCTGAGCTTTAGACAGGAACAACTAGGGGCAGACAAAAGTCGATTAGACTCGAAAAATCGATTTTTTCGACTTGAAAAAATTCAATTCGAATTAACTTCGAGTTGTAATTTCATAAATTCGACTCGAAAAAAATTTCAAGTTTAAATCAAGTTGTAAAATACAACTCGAATAACTCGAAATTTTTACTAATTAGTATATTGATTTTCAAGTTTGAGTCGAAGCTTAAGTCAAGTCTCTCGACTTCATATGGTATATGTAAATTACATATGAAAAAAATATAAATATATATATATATATATAATTATGAAATATCATTAAAATAGGAACCAAATGATGTCATAATATTGTAAATATTTACAATTAAATTTAAATAGAAACTCGAAAATTTGACTCGACTCGTTAAAAAAAATTTCAAGTCGACTCCGAGTTATAAAATAGGACTCGTCAACTCGAATAACTCGAAATTTTTTTACTCGACTCGATCGAACGCTCACCTTTGGAAACAACAAATCTCCATCCAAACACACAGCTCAATTAAACAACCATAAACTTTAAACAACACCTTTATAAATATAAACTTCATAAAAAATAATTTTAAAAAAAAATATAAAATGAACTCGTAAAACTACTTTTTTTATTTAAGCCATCGAATAACAACTTTAACTATTTCATAGATATTGTTTATCATAAAAAGCACTTATATTAGCGTACTATATATATATATCACTCTCTTATTCTAATCTTTCAATCGTGCTATTTTTACAAGCACATGTGTGTGATATATTGTGAAACCTCCTGCATAGAGTTTACTGATATCGATGCAAGTTCTTCAACTAGGATACAGAGCTTTTATACCCTTTTTGTCATCATCGGTCAGGTCCCTTTTCATAATTCCAGGATTAAAAAATGCATACATGACGGCAGCTTTCTCGCTGCTATGGTCAAGGCCGAGAGCATGTCCGAATTCATGCACAGCAATTGATTGCACATCTACTTTACTTTTTTCTTTAGTAGGATTAGAGGTCCAATTCCAATTTTCATTAAAGTGAACCCTGCCATCTGTTGGATAATAAGCATGAGCGAATGCACGACCAAAAGGGTTACCATCCCCATGATTATTTGGGAAAAATCCGATATCGATTTCGTGTCTGACGTTGTTCTTCACTTCCCTGAAGCTGAACGGAGAAACATCTGCCCACGATTTCCATGCCTCGGCAAAGATGGGACTCAGTGTAGCTTCAGTAAATCCAGTGACAGAATTTCGGATACTCCAAGCAAGATTCCTCGTCCTCCACTTGTACGGGGCTCCCGGGAAACTATAGTTAGAAACCAAACCATCAGGGACACCACATCTAGGGGTCAGCATTGCTTGTATTGTATCAGAGTCGATCCTGCCAGTTACATCTATACCAAGGTATTCCTGGTATGTTTTAAGAGCAGACTCCAAAGGGTCGTCGAACTGATCGTCAAGCGTATGCTTGGTGTCGTGGTGATAGTAGCCATAGGTCTTGAGGTATTTCTTGATTTGATTGACCCCATTCATAGTGTCTCCTTTCTGTGCTTGCTCAAGATTCTGAACAGATTCAAGTTCTACAGACTTTATCACAGAAAGTTGAAGCACAAAGAATAGGAAGAATGTTCCAAAAAGCTGAGTAGACAGCTTATCAGCCATTGCGAGCTATGATAGAAGCAGTATGTTGAATTATTACTTCAGTGTTTGTTGTGCGTTTTGGTGTTCGTCTTCATCCCTATTTATACTTAAACGGCACTTGAAATTTTTTCATAGACCATTTATTAAAGCATGCAAGGATAATGGAGTAGAATTCTATAGGACATTTATTAATTTCACTTTTATTTTTAATAAAAATATCAAGAAGTTTAAGGATAAATTATTTGTATTATACTTCAAATTATTATTAATTTTTCATTTTTTTATTTTGATCATCCATAATTAAAATATTAAAAAATTAATAATTACGTTGATGTGAAACTTTTTCTATTTTGATTTTTCATATCATTTTGTTCTTTTTTATGTCGAGTGTCCACGTGTTATTTTTTAAATAGCTGTACATGTTACTATCCTATTAGTGAATTAAAATTACATTAATTATGATTCAAACCTAAAACTCTTAAAATAAAGTCTTAATATTTGTGAACAATCTCTAAAACAGATAGTTAAAAACTATGGAATGACAATTTCTCTATCTCCTAGACTGTGAGTTCAATATCTATTAAAAATAAAATTTATGTTCCGCTCCTCCTAAATAAGAATCGTTAAAAAAAAAATTAATATTTAACCACTACATCAAATAGGGTATTTATTACATAATTAATATATGTATAATTAATTTTGAATTTAATTTTACTGTTAAGTTAATCGAATGTTTCTAGATTTTCTTGCACCGGATGAGAATGATTTCAATTAATTCAATTGATTAATCAAATTAATTGAGTTTATTTAGCTGAATCTACTTTGATTAGCTAACTATTTTTTTAACTAACAAAATAAATTCAGTTACGATCAATTAATTCAATTATCGACTACCTTACCAGAAAGCAATTATTATTTGTTGTTTTTCATCATTTAAACTGTCTGAATTCATTTTTTTTAAAATTAAAATATCGACCATTAATAATAGTGATCAATTTTCCTTGTAGATGTGCACTCGTAGAGATAAAAAATGGTTATAAAATGCACTCCATTCCTACTTCGATAGTATACCGCGTAGACCAGATAATACAATGCAAGCAAAAGTTACTGGTACATTTCAATTAAAACAAATATAAGCAAATTTATTTTCCTATAGAAATAAAAATAATTAGATGCTATGAAACAATAAATTACAAAAAATAAAAAAATAATACAATCTATATACCGTCTATGTTTTGTCAAAATCCTTACTATTTAAAATATCAACCGTCAGTGATCACAGTTACAATTTGAAACTGAGTTTTATTTTTATTATTTAAATTATTTACTTCTTTTGAGAATGAGTTATGCTTTTCATTTTTTGAATTATTTATATTAAAAAAAATTAAAATATCAACCGTCAGTGATCTGTTTCCTTATTATTTTTATTTATACTATGGGATGTTTTGATTTGAATTCTATATTTTGTAATAGTAAATTCTGTAAAAATAAATTCTTTTATCGATCTTTCTGTTATTATGAATTGGTTGAAAAGATTATAAATGGTATGATAGTAGATTGGTATTGTACATAGAAAAGTTGGCGAATACTTTGGAAGAGTTGTGTATGATATGATTTTGGACAATGAAATTTGAAGATGTAAAGGAGCTGCGAATTTGGAGTTCAAAAGATGTCAGCACAGAAAATTGAGATAGATCATGAGGATGTTCTCTATGATGTTGTCATGGATCATTATGGAAGACGTTTGGCGACTGCTTCATCCGATACTACCATTAAGATTGTACTGGAGGGTTGCTTGGGCGCATCCCAAGTTCGGATCGGTCCTTGCATCATGTTCTTATGATGGCCAGGTGATAATGTAGAAAGAAAATAATCAAAACGAGTGCCCAATTAAAGGCTCGTTTTTTTTAATGAGAACTCCATTGCATGAGCTTGACCCGTGGATCTTCCGACTGGAATATATCTGTGGAAGGATTTCAAGACCCCGTTTTGGAGTGTTTCATGCTCGCCGACCGGGAACTTATTGTCCGCTGCGGATGCCAACAAGAACGTCACATTGTGGAAAGAAGCTGTTGGTGGGGGGTGACTACTCTTGAGCCATGAAGTGAATACCTGGATTGAATCGGAATAGTTGCTAGTTTTTTTGCTTTCCACTACTTGGTCTAACCATGGACACCTCAACCTATAATAATCAGAATATTACAAATGGAAGCAAACAGAACAAATCCCATCAAGTTGTCTCCAAAAGAGAATTCCCTTTTAATAAATATTTTATCATTAATCCCGAAATAAATATTGTTAAAAAATGAATTATCTGGTGGTTTTTTTTGACAAAATCTCACATTGGTTGTGTATAAGGAGGAGGGGAATTTTTTTTTGTATAAATAGAGTCATCCTCCTTAGTATATCATCCCACAAATATAAGTCTTCTTCAGTGTTAAAGGTTATTAATACTCTTTCTCTCTTTGTAATATTTCCTCTATTAGTGAAATATTATTTTAGTAGTGTTCGAGAACATAGGCATAATTTTGGCCGAACCTCGTTAAATTTTGGTGTTCTCTTTTATGTCTATTTAATAGCTATTATCGGGTATAGTTGTTGTTAATTATTGTCCTATTAAAATTACTTGTCTTGATAGTTCTGTCTAAGGAAAGTAGGTTTTAAGAGGGACCATTATGACCCCTCATATTTCCTGGGAATCTATCTTGGGGTGATTTTTAGTACAATCGTTTTCACACTAGTCACCTAGATAATAGTTTTCAAGGTGAATTTATTATTATTGGTGGAAATTAACCCGAATTTCACAACAATTGGTAATAGAGCTCTTGGTTTATTTTAGTATGCTTTGTGGTTGCGGCTTAGGTTGATCTTCCACATCAGAAAAAATTTCCTTCGGATAATTGACATTCTGCATTGACATCAGAAATGGCAGACGACACAAAAACATCCGCAAGAAATGCTGTGACAAATATTAGATTTGCAGTGGAGATTTTTTTATGGCACCAGTCATTTCAGCATGTGGCAAAGTGAGGTTCTAGATGCCCTATTTCAGCAGGGTCTAGACATTGTTATTGAATGAGAGAAACCAGATGATGTTGAGGAGAAAGAATGGAAGAGGATCAATAGATTGGAATGTGGTACTATTCGATCGTGTCTTTCTAAAGAGCAGAAATATGCATTTTCTAAGAAAACTTCTACAAGTAAATTGTGGAAGGCACTGTAGGAGAAATTTTTGAAGAAAAGCGGTCAGAACAAGCTCTACATAAAAAAAGAGATTGTTCCGCTTCAACTATGTACCAGGTACCACTATGAATGATCACATTACTAGCTTTAATCATTTGGTGACTGCTCTGATGAATATGGTCGTAACTTTTGAAGACGAAGATCTGGCTCTGATGTTGATGGGATCACTTCCTGATGAGTTTGAATATCTTGAAACTACTCTACTTCATGGGAAGGTTGATGTGTCTCTCAGTGAAGTAACTGTTGCCTTATATAGTTATGAATTGAGAAAGAAATACAAAAAAGAAAGCGCAAGTGTCGAAGCAGGAGCTCTTGTTGTTAGAGGCCGTTCGAAGAGTCAGAATAAAGGAAGGATGGGGAGATTGAAGTCAAAGTCCAGATTGAGCAAAGATGAGTGTTCCTTTGTCGAGAAAAAGGGCACTGGAAGAAAGAATGTCACAGGCTAAACAATAAAGGCAAACATGAAAGGAGAAAGACTGTCTCAAAATCAAATGTGGTAGAGTATGATGATGCAGATGCAGATTTCGTATTCGCTGCTACGCCATCAACCAGCTGTTCCAGTTCATGGCTATTAGATTCAGCTTGTAGCCACTATATGACCCCCAATAGAGAATGATTCTTTAATTTTAAAGAAATAAAAGGTAGAATTGTCTACACAATAAATAATTCCCCTCTTGACACACTTGGGATTGATTCAATTCGCTTGAGGAATCAGGATGGATCAATCAGAACCTTAACAGGTGTCCATTATGTACCAGATTTAATGAGAAATCTCATATCTGTGGGAGACTTAGAGTCAAAAGGTTTAGAAGTGAGGGCAAAAGATGAGATTATGAGGATTATCTTTGGTGCACTGGTGATAATGAAGGGAATCTGGAAAAGAAACAATGTGTATTAATTTCTGGGTAGTACAATTGTTGGGACAGCAGCAGTGGCAGCTTATACTGATGAACATGAGTCAGAAGCAACCAGGTTATGGCATATGCGCTTGGGGCATGTTGGTGAAAAATCCTTGAAATTGCTGATAGATCAAGGATTATTGAAGGGTGCTTGGGCTTGTAAATTAGCTTTTTGTGAGCATTGCATCAAATGGAAGAAGATGAGGGTGAAATTTGGAACAACAATCCATGATACTAAATGTATTTTGGATTATGTTCATTCAGATGTATGGGGGCCTTCCAAGACAACTTCATTGGGAGGAACACACTATTATGTCACCTTTATTAATGATTTTTCCCGGAGAGTTTGGGTGTATACAATGAAGACAAATGATGAGGTGCTAGGATTTTTCCTTAAATGGAAAAAGATAGTGGAGACTCAAACAAGCAGAAAAATAAACATTTCTGTACAAACAATTGTGGAGAGTACAAAAAATGATCCATTTCTGAAAGTCTGTGAAGAATAAGGTATTGTCAGGCATTTCACTGTCAGATCTACACCACAACATAATAGGGTAACAGAGCGTATGAACCGGACATTAGTGAAGAATGTTCGGTGTATGTTATCTAATGTTGGGTTAGGCAAAGAATTTTGGGCTAAGGCTTTGGTCTATGCTTGTCACCTTGTCAACCGCTTACCATCGACTGCTATTGGTGGTAAAATACCATTAGAGAAATGGTTTGGAGAACCTGCTACAGATTATGATTCCTTACATGTGTTTGGTTCCACTGTATACTACCATGTTAAGGAGTCAAACCTAGATCCAAGAGCAAAGAATGTGATCTTTATGGGGATCACCTCTGGTGTGAAAGGCTATCGTCTTTGGTGTCCATAAACAAATAAAATAATCTTCAGCAGGGATGTTACCTTTGATGAATCTACCATGTTGAGAAAGGTGACTTCAGAAAAATTGGAGCAGACAAATGGAACTCCCAAACAGGTGGAGTTTGAATGAAGCAGAATTGTCCCAGCCAATAAAGAAACTGATGTTGACTCTCCTATGGTAGAAAAAGAGTCAGATGAAGAAGAGGTTCAGACCCAAGAACCTCCACAGCAACATGAATCAATTACATTCAGAAAGGGAAAGAGGACCATTAGACAACCTACTCGTTATGCTGATATGGTCTCTTTTGCATCACTAATTACAATTGATGACGTTCTTGCCAATTTTAATGAAGCAGTCCAAAGTTCAGAACATAAAAGGTGGAGGATCGCCATGAATAAAGAAATACAATCCCTTCAAAAGAATCAGACATGGAAACTAGCTAGTCTTCCAAAGGGAAAGAATGCAATTGGGTGCAAGTGGGTATATGCAAAGAAAGATGGATTTCCTAACAAGAATAACACCCGCTACAAAGCAAGATTGGTGGCTAAAGGCTACGCTCAAACGGAGGGAGTTGATTGTAATGAAGTATTTTCTCCAGTTGTAAAACATTTCTCTATTATAATTTTGTTGGCTTTGGTAGTGCAATTGGATTTGGAACTAGTTCAGATGGATGTAAAAACTGCATTTTTACATGGAGACTTGGATGAGGAAATCTACATGACTCAGCCAGATGGATTCAAAGTTGTTGAAAAAGAAAAGATGGTGTGCAAATTAGAAAAATCGTTGTACGGTTTGAAGCAATCTTCAAGGCAGTGGTACAAGCGATTTGACAAGTTTATGATAGGGCAGAAGTACACAAGAAGAAAATATGATCATTGTGTGTATTTACGCAAGCTACAATACGGATCATATATTTATCTTCTTCTTTATGTTGATGATATGTTGATAGCTTCCAAGAGTCAGACAGAAATTGCGAAACTAAAGACTCAATTGAACAGAGAGTTTGAGATGAAATATCTTGGTGAAGCGAAGAAGATTCTATGCATAGAGATATCAATGGATAAGAAATTGGGGAGGCTTTGTTTGTCTTAGAAAGAATATCTGAAGAAGGTACTAAAATGTTTTGGCATGAATAAGAAGTCAAAACCAGTTAGTACACCTCTTGCTCCTCATTTCAAGCTCGGTGCATCCATATCACCTAAGGATGATGCAGAACGGGAATACATGTCAAAGGTTCCATATGCAAGTGCTGTTGGTAGCTTGATGTATGCAATGGTGTGTACGAGACTCGATATTTCACAGGCAGTTAGGGTTGTGAGCAGGTATATGCATGATCTTGGAAAGGAGCATTGGCAAGCTGTGAAATGGATTCTGCGGTATATTTTGAACACCGTAAATGTTGGTTTGGTCTTTCAGCATGACAAACAATATGGCCAGTGTGTAGTTGGGTATTGTGATTCAGACTATGCAGGTGATTTGGACAAGCGTCGATCAACTACTGGTTATGTGTTTACATTTGCAAAGGCACTAGTCAGTTGGAAGTCCACTTTATAGTCAATAGTGGCTTTGTCTACTACAGAGGCAGAGTATATGGCAGTTACAAAGGCTGTGAATGAGGCAATTTGGCTTCAAGGGTTGCTTGGTGAATTGGGAATGGAACAGAAGCACATCAAAGTACATTGTGACAGTCAGAGTGCTATTCATTTAGCAAAGAACCAGGTTTACCATGCAAGGACGAAGCACGTCAATGTTCAATATCACTTTGTACGAGAGATTCTAGAAGAATGTGGAGTCATAATCCAGAAGATTCGGACCACTGAGAATCCTGCTGATATGTTGACAAAAGTGGTAACTGCGGTCAAGTTTAAACATTGTTTAGACTTGGTCAATATTTTTACAAATTGAAAGATGAATTTGCAGACACTACCGAAGATTGATTTTTGAGAGATGTGTGTGGAATTTGCCAAGGTGGAGATTTGTTGGGTTTTTGGCAAAATCCCACATTGGTTGTTTATAAGGAGGAGGGGAAATTCTTTTGTTATAAATAGAGCCCTCCTCCTCCTTAGTTTAACATCCCACAAATATAAGCCTTCTTCACTATTAAAGGCTATTAGTACTCTTTCTCTCTTTGTAATATTTCCTCTATTAGTGAAATATTATTTTAGTAGTGTTCGAGGACATATGCATCATTTTAGCCAAACCTCGTTAAATTTTGGTGTTCTCTTTTATGTCTATTTAATAGATATTGTCGGGTATAGTTGTTGTTAATTATTGTCCTATTAAAATTACTTGTCTAGGTAGTTCTGTTTAAGGAAAGTGGGTTTTAAGAGGGACCATTGTGACCCCTCCTCTTTCCTGGGAATCTATCTTGGGGTGATTTTTAGTATAATCGTTTTCACACTAGTCACCTAAATAATAGTTTTTAAGGTGAATTTGTTATTATTGGTGGAAATTAACCCGAATTCCACAACATTATCAACGTATATTCACCCCATACTTGTGATAAGAAACTTTATAAACATTCTAACCATTAAAACATTCACTACTACTAATCGGTTCACGGAATGTAAGATTACCGGCGGGAATAAGATTACTGAAAATGTTGCATTGTTGTGTTTGGTTCGTTTAGCAGAAATGTAAGATTACAGTGTTTTAGTTAAAGGAATAAAAGATTATTGGAATGTATATTTTACCAAATCGTCTTTATTATATATTTGTTTTTTAACAAGTTGAATTCTACTATAATTTTACTATACTTAATTTATATATTTTCTTTAAAAATTTTAAATTCATAAAATATATATAATTTTTTTACAAAAATGAAAAGATAAATAGGTTTAATGAAAGGGTAAAATTTTATTTTAACCCTTAAACTTCATATAAAATTCTAATTATGGATTTTTTTGTAAATCTAAAATAGTTGAAGGATAAATTTGTTTTTTAACCTTCTTAGAATTTTTTTATTCAACGACAGAAGAATTATATTTTTGAAAAAAAAATTAAGGGCATTTTAGTCCAAAACGTCGGAATGTAACAATACCTAAAGAAAGGGGGTAATCACATTCCCGATAATATACCCCCAAAATATCACTGTTGAGAATAACTTATTACCGAGGGTTAGGAATGGTTGCCAACCAAATAGGGGAATGACATTCCATTCCCCCCGTAATCCAATATGACCTGAACCAAACATCCCGAAGGGTGTGTTTGGTTAGGGGAATGTGAGATTCTCATGGGAATAGAATCCACATTCCCCCGTTTGGTTGATCGGGAATGTCATTCCCGGTAATCTTACTTACCAATAGTAGATTTTTTGGGGTATATTACTGAGAATGTCATTACCTCCCTTTCCTTAGGTATTGTTGGATTACCGTCGTTTTGGACTAAAATGCCCTTAAATTTTTTTCTTTAAAAAATATTCTTATTATGTCGTTAAATAATAAAAATTCTACGAAGGTTAAATTACAAATTTATCCTTAAACTATTTTAGATTTACAAAAAAAAAGTCTATAATTAAAATTTTATATGAAGTTCAGGGGTTAAAATAAAATTTTACCCTTTCATTAAACCTTTTTATATTTTCAATTTTGTAAAAAATTATATAAATTTTATGAATTTAATTTTTTTTAAAGAAAATATATAAATATTTTCCAACTTGTTAAGAAAACAAATATATAATAA